TAAGGCAGAGGGCTGCAATGATTAACCAAAGCAAAAAACCAAAAGCCTGCCTTGCTTTTCGGGCTTCTGTCATAGCCCTATTAGTGCACGCTTTTACCGATCAACCCAAGAAGATACAGCCCTGAAGAGGAAACATCTCAGCAATGGTGTGAAAGGTACCTGGCACAGAGCCACTGGAGACAAAAGGAGTTAGTTCTCTTGGGTTGTGGCTTTAAAAGGTTATTCCTCTGTCAACGGCTACTTTTCACCACTCCAATCTCCACTGTTACAGCATCCCTCCTTGGCCCTCCCATCCAGCACCTCCACAGAAATGAACCTTCTTGCAGTTGGTTACAGGGTTTGCTGCATTACGCCGATGTATAAATATAACTGGAATATGCCAGAAAGAGAGCAGAGGTCATCAGGAAGCGTTCAGCAAAAAGTGTATTCAACCTTTTCATTAAAGAAAAAAAAAAGAAAAATCTCCTCCCTGAAAATCTTTAAAAGGTTTTTCATGCATGATTTGTTTTCACCACCACCCCCCCCCAACTAAATATTTGACAACTAAATTTTTACTAGAGAAACAGTTTAACAGGAACTTTTTGATCATCCCTTTGCTGTTGGTGAAGAACACAGATAAGGGGGCTGAAGGATGCTTCAAGCACTGCTTGAGTATTGCTACAGAGAGTGAAACGGTGGGTCATATTTGAAGAATAAGCCCTAGATGTCACTAAGTGCCTTTATTTTAGCCAAAGTTCATGGGTTTTTACCACCCACGCCCAAATGCCCCCACAAGCTGTTAACTCCTGATTCCACAAGCACTGCTGAGCTTTACATACCCGATTTCCTGTCACGCAGGGAGGGATGTGTGTCACTGTCAGGCATAATGCATGGAAAGTATCCATAGAAAAGGCTGTTTGGGACTGCTCACTGACGTTCGGAGTGTATTTGAGATCCCCACTGTTGCGCAGGTCAGGCCGTGCGGTACCCTACCCGCTTCGTCAGCGGTTGCCAAATGGTCAGTGGTTGAGTGGTCACACTCAAGCCAAGAAATCTAACTTCTGCCCTCACAGAAGTTCGGCTGAGTTACTGGGTGATTTGTAATCAGGTCATTTTCATTTTGTGCCTCAGTTTCCCCACCTATGGTGCGGGGCTTGTGGCTTAAAAAAAAGGAAGAGAGTAATGCATTAACACATTAATGCTGGCAAGGCACTTGAAATGCATTAAACAGAACATCGTATACTGCAAAAGATGTTTATTAATTAACCATCAGAGATGTGCTGGTTTATTAGGAGCGTTTCAGAGATGCACCTTCTCATTAGCCCACTACAAACCAACCCACAGCAGGAGGGAACAAGTTCCTTCAAACAAGGTTCAACTTTCTGCCGGTTTAATCTTCATCTCATTGACAGACTTCTGAATCTTAATGTAATTATAGTTCCTTAAATGTTTTCTGATATCTTATCTCAGTCTCTCTGTTCTATGTCTTTTTGTGGTTTCTTTTTTGTCGTGGGACAGAGGAGTAGATCATTTCTTTCCAGCGTCCATTAAAATTCCCTTTGCCTGCAGTGCAGTATGCTCTATGAAAGAGATGAACCTGCTGCAAGTCAAATAAGCTGATGCTGCACTGTCTTTTTAGAGCAACAACAATCTTCAGAGATTATTTTTCCAAGTGTCGTGAATCTCCTTCAAAGTCACAAGCCGCTGTTATCAATTAGTATACTTAATAGTCTCATTTTGCATTCACATTCAGGGCATACAGAGTCTGTGCTCGCCCCGGCAGATGCTCGAAAGCTTTGCCTTTCAGAGATAAAATGTTCGCTTCTATGTGATGGGGGGGGTCGAGGGGGGGCGATTCGGGAGCAGAAAGCCGCGTTAAAGTGCAGCACCTGAGGCCTTCTTGTTTTCTGAATTTACAGTCTCAGGCTGGCAGTCGTATAAATGAGTGATGCTCTCTGATGTTCTCTTCCAAGCAGGCTACAAAATTGGCAGGGAGTCTTCGGTTTTGTGCTGATGTGTCCAGAATTCAAATAATTTGATTCTTGGGTATAATGACAATTGGAGGCACGGTATTACCTTGAGAAAGAGAGATGGGAGAGACAGCTTCTGTATCCTGTATTGAATTAACAACCGATTCCCATTTACTCTCTCTGCTGAAAACTCTATTATGCGGGGTTCTTATTGCCCTTATTCAAGGGCATGGAATTAAAAAAGTGATATCGATGGTAATGCTCTCATCTTCCTACCATGACATTGAATAATGGGGACAAAGAAGGGAAATCTTGAAGGATGATATGGCTTTTAAAATACTGCTGATATTGAAAACATATAAAGGACAATGCCTTTGAATATCGGCTGATGAAGTCATATTCAGTTTATTGTGCTTTTTGCCTATGCCTTTAAATGATCTTTGATCTTATTTTCGCCGTTGTTTTCGGAACATTTTATTTTCTTGTTATTTCAGGAGAGAGTCCTTACTGTGAGGAACATACTTGAGATGAGGACAGAGGTGAAGTGTTGGTTACATTAATTCCAAGAGAAATCTGTTTTCTTTCCTCCTGGATCTGGAGAGCAAGAGGTAGGAATCTGGCGGGGAAAAGTCCACCAACAGACTGGTGTAATTATATAGGAAGAGTAATACTACTGCTCAAGTGGAGGTTGGCTCTTCTTCTGGCACAAGCTGTCATTCTCCTGTTCAGCTTAAGCCCTTTCTAAAGTTACATAAACTAGATAAAACAGATGGTCTTATAATAAAAAAAAAGAAAGAAAAAGAATATCCACTGTGGACCCTGCAGCATCCTTCCTTCACAAATCTAGTCATTTAGGATTTAAATGTATTTTCCTGTGTAAACGATACCTTACCCAAAATAATGAGTATATTTCCATTAGGAAGTTTTAAAAATTTTACAGAACAAGTGATATTTTGCAGAATAAGTGACAATATCTCCATTTTACAGACAGGCAACTGAGAAGCAGAATATTTAACTGCCTCGCCAAAAGTCACACAGGAGATACTTTTCGAGGTGGGAACAAAACATGGATTTTGCTCTCATTAGTGCAAAACCACAAAGCCTCCCTGAACTATTGCCACTCTTCCCTAATCTCAACCCAGATGTTAACGAGGTGCCTTACTCTAAATTTTCAGTCAAACCTCTCTGTGAGGTGGAATCGTGGAAATCGGCTCTGCAGCATGCCCGAGTGAGGTTACAAATTACGCTGGAAAGGGTTCAGGGAACAAGTGCCAAAACTCTTGCCTGTCGTGGTACCCGTTGATCTTGAGCACGCTGATGCTGTCGTTATGCTGGTGTAACTCCGTGATTCCAGTTATTTTAGAGCTGGTTACAACATCATGCTGAAGGAGATCAGGATGCAGCTCAAAAACCTGCTCATAGCAATTCTGAGAAGTCAAAATCACGGCTGGCTTTGTCAAAGGGAAGCCCCTTTAATCTCCCCCTTCCCCTCCTGGAGTCAGGACTCTCAGCTGATGGCTTCCTGTCACCTGAAATGTGTTCAGAGACCCTTCAGCTGGCAGTGCTATGGGATGGTGCAGAGTCCCAGTATCTCCAGAGTATGACGCTCCAATTGATACCTGTTTGTCTCCATCATTAATGTGTGACTACAGAGAGATCAGCTTTATAGCTGGTCGCCATCATCTGCAAAATTTTCTTGCCATGAACTGGTAGGTGTTCATGAAGCCGTAAGCGCTCCTCTGCCCTGCTCGTACGATGGTGCTATCGAGCTGTACTTTTTCAGGGAAAGGAGAATGGCGAAAGAAGAGGGGCTCTGAGAGGAACATCGCAATGGCATGGCAGGGCACGGTGACCTGGGAAGCTTTAAAGCCATCCGCCACGAAGCTGTTGGTACTACCTTGTCTGATGATGCTCACTGTGTGTACGTGCTCCCACACAGCCACCTGAAGAAGGATTGTCCACCTCCACCCACATTAGCACCCTCATTACATCCGCCAACTGGGATATTGAGACTTCATTTCTAGCTAGACAGAATATTTGCCAGGAGCAACTGAGTATGAAGAGAGACGACAGCTGTAGTTTCCTTGGGTCCATAGCTTTCTTGCCTGTGCTGGCAGGGATACGTTTTAAACTAAGAATTAAAATTATACCAGCTGCCTATGGCCTCCAGAGGTCAGCATATCACTTGAGAAAAGCTAAATCACAGGGCCCTCAAACTATACTTTTCAAGCACGATCCCATTATGTATAGTTTCCAGTTGCACTGGCAATAAGATTTAAAGGTTTTGTCCCCAATGATAGCTGTGACAACAAAAGCAAGAAAAGAAAAAAGAGCTCTCAGAATACCCTTTGTAAAATGCAAAATGTTGTTGTTGGTCAATACTGCCACTTGGATGAGAGACCCCTTAGGTGACAAGTTTATTGAAAAGGACCAGACAAATAGGTATCAAGATGCTATTCCTCACATGTTAGTGCTGATGGGGTAGTGGACATGCCAGCTGTCTTCTGAGTGGACTGTCAGACTTGTTCAACTGTGTTATAGAATCATAGAATGCTTTAGGTTGGAAGGGACCTCCTCATAACATCCTCATAAACACCAAAGAGCCTCAGTGTCACAAAACACTATCTGATTTCTCCTACAACGCTGTCTAATTTCTCCTTAGCATGAAGTCTGCAAGGCTTACTGAGACCTCAGTGTTCTCACATTGCTGCTTTGAAACACAACCAGGAGGCATCAGCCATAGACAAAGCGTAGAAACCCCACTACAAAAAATAAAACAAATAATACAAACAAAAAAATGCAGCCTAGTTCCAAAAAAACCCAAAAAAGAAGTAACAACACTTAAATCTTCTGTTATTTTTATTAAAGCTGCAGAGTCTTACTACACACAACAAATATTTTATTGATATAATCTAAGTTAATAAAATAGTTGAACAACTCTTTAGATTTATATTTGTATAGAAATGATCTGTGGAACAT